CCCCCCGCCCGCCCCGTCAAATAAATAAATAAAATCTTAAAAAAAAAAAAAAAAGAGAATGCAGAACAGTGACTAGCCAGGAGTTCTTAGAGATGAATGGCTTTGAAAACCAGAGGAGATGCCCACAGTCTCATCAGGAACCAGTGCCCAGAGAGCACTGAGCATGGCTATGAGCAAATTATTCTGTTTGGAAGGAGGAGCCAGCGCACTGGTTTTAAAGTAAGATGAAGGAAAAGGGGGAAAAGTTGTGATTAAAACTGTTCTCTTAGCTAGTGGATGAGTCACGGAGCTCGTTACCCAAGTGCAGCTCTTTGCCCCCGAGTCAGCGGCCCTCCCCTCTTGGGTGGGGCAGGCTGCAGGGCTGACCGTTGGTAGCTAGAGTAGCAAGTTCAGGGACCTGAATCTGGCGCTTCCATCCCTCCAATCCTGCAACACGCTCTGCTCCATTTTTGCTGGGGTGCCTTGGGCCTGGGGCTGAGAGGGGGCAGCATCCTCTCTGTACCCAGGACAACCCAGTCCTGCACCTGAAACACTCCATCCATTTACTCTTTCAGCTGTCTGTCTCTCTCTCAGATTTAAGATCCTCTAGGTTAAAAACTGTGAATTATTCTGTTCTATCTATGAACCACACGATAAGCATTTGCTAAATGAGTGAATGAATAAATCAGACAAGCCCCTTGGCAGGACCTGAAGTGCAGGTGTGACCACCCAGGTCTGGACTGAAAACCTTGTAGTTCAGACCTCAGCAGAAGGATGTGAAGCTGGAAGAGCTGGGGAAGGGGCCCACAGGGGCTGCCTGTAATTGGAACAGTAGGGTACAGAGGAAAGCACATTCCATGAGTGCAGGAAAAAAACGCGTCCTGCTAAACAGGTCTGGCTGGACCCTGAACATGACTTCTCTTTCTCTTCTCACTCCTGCTGTTTTCTTGTGTTTTGGTTCTCACTGTGAGCTCCACAGGCTGTTAACTACCTCATGGTTCTTTCATTTTTTTATTGAGTCATTTTATTCCGATGTCTGTGTATCCTCCCTACCTGCTTGCCTAGGTAAGAGGTCTTTAAGATGGAGGCTCAGAACTCTGTAGTCTTTCTCCGTGTAGCTTTCTCTACAGAAAAGAATTTTGGATTCCACAAATTTAGTCACAGTGGTGGGAATTAAGTTTTCCATTTCTGGTCCTCCTACCCTGAGCACCTGCTGTGCCCATCCCTGATGTGAGGCTGGTACGCATGCTCGCACACACTCTTTCTCTCTCTCCATGGTGCTTGCTTTTGGGGAGTTCACCAGCTAATGGCATACTGTTTAAAAATATATCCTGAATTTTAGCTAATTGTGTTTCTGATTCTTTCCCCACTAGATTGTGGGTTCCTTGAGCACCCTGCTCTCCCACAGCCTGCTCAGTGAAGTGGTGAGAATGAAAGTGACAATAATGTACATTTTGATTCTCCTGGGAGTAGCAGGGAGCAGGAGGCCTCCTTAGAAAAGTGTCTGCTCTTGAGCAGTCCCAGATGTTTGCTCTGGACCCATGCCCAGATTCAGACCGTAATTTCAAAAAGGACACTTTTAAAGAGCAAGAGGTCTGATTTACTTTGCTCTTCTGTGTCTTGTCTATACCCTAGTTTTCTTATGGCCCACCCAGAAAATAATTGGCAGGGGGACAGTCAAAACATCTGTTATTTAAAAATGCATTTGAGGTTTCCTTCCTTTTGCTTTGGAGATTTTGAAAAGAAAAAAGCAAAAACCTTTCTTTTTTTTTTTTTAATTGAACCCAGAAGGTATTTTTGAATTTGATCCCTAAAGAGAATTCAGAAAAAAATGAGTTGAGGCAATGGATCTGGATCCAGGCTGTCTCTCCCACCTCTCCCCGAACATAAAACTTGCTCACCAAGGGCGCCTGGGTGGCTCAGTTGGTTAAGCAACTGCCTTCGGCTCAGGTCATGATCCCAGAGTCCTGGGATCGAGTCCCACATCGGGCTCCCTGCTGAGCGGGGAGCCCGCTTCTCCCTCTGACCCTCTCCCCTCTCATGCTGTTTCTCTGTCTCTCTCTCTTTCTCTCAAATAAATAAATAAAATCTTTAAAAAAACAAAACAAAACAAAAAAAACTTGCTCACCAAAAAAGTGGGCAGCAAAGAAAAAGCTCCAGATGCAATGCAATAGGAAGAAAGAACTCAGAAGCCTTCTCTACCCCAAGGAAGCACATCCACGTTTCCCTGAAGAGTTGTCAGACATCAGCCGGAACTGGCAAACAGTAGCCATTGTGACAACTGCTAGTAAATCCATCGGTGGGTTGGGTGGTAGTTACTTAGTGAAGGGGTAGGAAGTGCTGAAGATTGTCAAAAATATAAAATTTTTTTTTTGCTTTTGATGTGAGATTTCTAAATTGTTGAGTCTCCAGGAAAATGAAAAGCTTAAGAAAGATACTAAAACTTCATTCCAGCTTTCTCAGCACTCAGAGTGCTAATTTATACATCATAACCCTGAAAAGATTCCATTGTTTCCCTCAACTTTGAAATACTGGGCTGTATCCAAGGGCATACCAAGTGGGTAGTACTCTAAAAAAGCCACATTTTTGGAACTCTCATTGGAAAGCAGGGAGGCACCCAGTCTCAGCCCCACCCAGCCCAAGGCCTGACTTCACTGGGGTGGCTGCTTGAGGGACTGGTCAAAGGCCAGACACGGGAGGAAAAGGGCCCATCTGACATTGTTTGCAAGAAAAGTCAGGGAAGAGCATCACCTAGAAATCAGTGTACTTTATGGCCAGTACACCCTCAAGAAGACTTGAAGAACTGAAATAAGAAACTTCAAATGGTGGGTCAAGGACAATGATGAAGAAAGTAGCTTCTGGCTGTCAAGGAAAGCATATATGCCATCGAGGAGAGACAATTAAATAGAAACAGGATAGGAATCTGTGAGGGCCGGGCTGATGAAGAAATTTCACATGAGTTATATGAACTCATTTCTGCCCCAGCCTCTGGTATTATCCTTTGCAACTGGCTTGCATGCTGGAGGCAAAGATCACTGTCAGGGTGTTTCCATGAGCCTGGCCTCACCTGAAGCGCAGGATATAAAGATCCACTGCAGCAGTTTGGAAACTCAAGCTGCAGGGGTGTGGGGGTGGAAACCTGCAGCAACTGCTAAAAACATCCACCGGAAGAGCTACCTCACACCTAAAGCTGTGGCAGCCTGCCAGCAGGCACACGGCTCAATCCCCCAACAGTGGTGCGGCTCACCATGGCCCTGCCAATCCAGTTGCTGCCCTCACCCGCAGTTCAGTCAAGAAACCTCTCCTTCAGATAGCTGGCCAGTCCCGGTGACTCACTTCCTCTTGGAAAATGCCCTCTGAGATGGCACAGTTCCCCTTCTCCTTCAGGGAGTGTTCTGTCGGAACCATCTGCAGAGAGTATCTGGAACCATTGGGGCCACACCCACATGGTCTCACAGCTGAGTCACGGGCCTGCACTAGAATCCGGGAGCCCTTTGTGCTGGCCGGGCCCTGCACGATGCTCCCAGCTCCCCTTGGGAGGGAAGGGGGGGTGGGCTTGATGTATCTCAGGGTCTGGCCTAGGGCTCTGCTCTGCCTATCTTGTAGCTGCTCGGCTTTAATCGGCTTTCCTCACCAGCCCCACGCACCCAACTTAGCGGAGTCAATTAGCTGGAGTCCAGCGGGACAGTAAGTAGTGTCCAGGCTTCGAGAAAGCCGCATTCCTTTGGCTAAGCTCAAGTTGTGACCCGGTACCAACGGCAAGTTTGTCTCATTGCACGGGGCCAGGTTAATCTGGGTTGGGAGGTCTTTCGTCAAGGCTGCTCTTCCCCTCTTTATAGTTCCACTTGTTTAATGAAGATCGCAAGAAGGGAATCCTTTCGGGAGGGAAATCCCGTCCTATATTCCCCTCTCCGCCACCGCGGGCTAGCCAAGCTTTATAAAGAAAACAAACACACCTACACACAAACAACAGGAAGCCCAACCTGAAGCATCTGGGCGAGGGACTGAGCAGCGCCCTTGACGAAGGGAGTCCGCCAGCTCCAACCCGTCCAGCTCGGGCCCTCCAGCTCACACACATCTGCGGGAGGTCAGCCCGCAGCCGGAGCCCACAGAGAAATAGGCCAGCCAGGAAGGGGCGAGAAGCGGGGCTTCGGATAACTCGGGGGACTAGTGGAAAAGTAGGAAAAGTGGGAGTAAGGAGAAATGGAAAGGGAGGAGAGAGCAGAGGCTCCGGGGCGCCGACACCGCGGTCCTGGAATAAAGGACGAGCGCCCCTCCTCCAGTCCGCGAGGATCAAGAGCAGGGGCGCTGCCCGCCTCGCCCGGGTGTGGCCCAGGGCGCTGAGAAGTGGACACCCAGCAGCCCCCGGCGCCCGTAACAACCGCGCCGATGGGGGGCTTCCCCGGGTGCGGGGTCGGGGCTGGGGAGCGGCCGGGGAGCGGCGGGCGCAACTCACCTTGACCTGAGGCGCACCAGGGACGATTGGCTGGCTGGGACGCACGGCCAGTGAGCGGAGCGCAGAGGGCTGGAAGCCTTAGTACGGGGCGAGGGTGGGGGAGTGAGGGGGAGGGGGAGGCAGGAGGAGCCTGGGCCAGTGTCCGGGCCGCGCTCACCCCACCCCTTCCCCCGCCCTCCTCTTCCTGTCCCCCCCCACGCCCCGCGCAGGCACACACCCTCCCGGCGGTGCCGCAGCGCGCGGACCTCCACCCGCTCTCACCTCGCCCGAGAGCATTCTTGTGAACATCGCTTCCTACTCGAGAGCTCTCGGATATTTCAGGACATCCCCACCCTGGGCCGTGCCCTTCCTCTCGGGTTTGGTTTAGAGAATGAGCGCGCGAGGAAATCAAAGAATCCAGCGGTTCTGCTGGTGGGGCGCGCTGGCCCAGAACTAGATGTAGGCGGCTCTTCGGTAACCTACGGGGCTAGGACTAGACGGTACCGCAGGGAGGGAGGGCACGTGGAATCCTAACGACCGCCAAGGTGTCGTATTCTCAGATTAGGCCCAGGACGTGAGTCCGGAGGGTCTTCGTGGCCTGTGCCCGTCCGCCTAGGTCTAGGGGAGAAGCCCTGCCTGTGCTTGCCCCGCGGGGGGTGTGGGGGGGAATGAAGGGTGCTGTTGGCTAGTCGGCTCCCACATGAACCCTTTATTGAACAAGGGATTGACCCCTCAGTGTGTGTGGCTCCACGTGGTGGACAGTGCAGCTTCAGTTGTGGTTGACCACAGTCAAGACCAAAGTTCCTAAGCCTTCTTTTTCCTGTAATTGGCCTGTTTGGTTCTCGAAGCCCTGTAGGAGAAATTTCTGGAAGAAATTTAGAGAAAACCTAAGTGTTTCTAGTGGATGCACAGTGTTTCCCTCCTCCCCCCATTTATTTTAACTGCTGTTTAGGGTTAAATGCAAACTACTAGCAGCTGTTGGTGGAAAAGGGCCCAGTCCTAAGTCCTGGGTTTTCCTTTGTTCCCAGGGGAGGTCCTGGGAGGAGTGGAGTGAGTGATCCTAAAGGAATGAGCAGAGTCGGGGAATCCTCCAGGTGCTACCATGTAACTAATCTTGGCTCTTGCTAGGAAAACCCAATTTGGATTTCAATTCTCACTCACGCTGGGTTCCTGCAACCCTGGTGGTGACTGTTTAGGGGGGAGTTCTTAAAAATCTTGCCATATGCTTCCCAAGTTTTTCCCAGGCCCCAGGTTATAGTCAAGAGTGGAGAAAATCCTGGATCCCGTTAGTCCCAGGGAAGATGCAACTGGTTTTAGAATGAGAATACCTGAGTTTGTATACTCTTACTTACTTGATTTCCTCATTTGATCCACAAACCTTTACGAATGCTCAGTATATGTGGCAGGCCCTGGGCATTCAGTTTCTTCCCTCAAAGAGCTTCCAATCTAGTTGAAAGATAGATAAGCAAACAATTAAAATCCGGTGCCCCCAGTGAATGGTAGAGGACACTAGGGGATGCTTGGAGAATGTTGACTCCGAGTGGTCACAGAACAATTCCTGGAGGAGGCAACGTTTGGTCGATGTTTTAAAAGTAACAATGACACTTATTGTGACTTTTAAATCTGATTATAAAACAGGTTGTATTCTTATTATAGGTTTGGAAAATATACCAATGTATGGAAAAGAAAATACAATTATTTGTAAACCTATGAACCAAAGATAAACATTTCTGTGTTTTCTAGTCTTTTTATACATCTATTATATATATGTGTGTGTGTGTGTGTGTGTATGCACACATGCTTACACGCACGCACGTATTTGTAATTTGGGGATTTGGGGGGATAGAGGGGGATTTTAAAAAATTGAACCCAGAGGGCATTCTCAAATTTGGTCCCTAAAGCAAATTCAGAAAAAATGAGTTGAGGCAATGGATCTGGATCCAGGCTGTCTCTCCCACCTCTCCCCAAACATAAAACTTGCTCACCAAAAAAGTGGGCAGCAAAGAAAAAGCTCCAGATGCAATGCAATAGGAAGAAAGAACTCAGAAGCCTTCTCTACCCCAAGGGAGCACATCCACGTTTCCCTGAAGAGTTGTCAGACATCAGCCGGAACTGGCAAACAGTAGCCATTGTGACAACTGCTAGTAAATCCATCGGTGGGTTGGGTGGTAGTTACTTAGTGAAGGGGTAGGAAGTGCTGAAGATTGTCAAAAATATAAATTTTTTTTTTTGCTTTTGATGTGAGATTTCCAAATTGTGATCACACTGATTATAGAATTATGTGTTCTATTTTTGTTCCATAATACCTTATCTTTTATCTTTTCTTTCTTTCTTTCTTTCATTCTTTTTCTTTCTCTCTCATTTTCTCTTTTTTCTTTTTACTATTTTCTGTCATTAAATATTGTCAAGAACATGCTCATTCATTCACTCATTCTTTTTTTTTCCCTATTCAACTACACTGTAGCTTCTCTGCTCTCTTCTCCTGGTTGCTGGTGCCAGACTCTGAGACCCCCACGTCCTAGTAGCTGTGGCTCCTAAGACGGAGGGAACTGGGTTTCTGAAACCCTGTTAAATGCTGAGGACGCAGTGGTGAAAATGGTCAGTAGGATGGCTGCTATCTCTGCCTTTGTGCAGCTTTCTACAATTTCGTACTGGTAGGTCCATAAAGTCCCATGTATCTACCATGCTTATTATAATCTCCCTCTAGAAGAGGTTGTACCAGGCAGTTCGTTCTTTCTTTTTCTTTTTAAAGATTTTGTTTATTTATCGGACAGAGAGAGAGAGAGAGGGCATAAGCAGGGGGTGTAGCAGGCAGAGGGAAAGGGAGAAGCAGGCTCCCGGCTGAGCAGGGAGCCCAATGCGGGGCTCGATCCCAGGATCCTGGAATCATGACCTGAGCTGAAGGCAGACGCTTAACGACTGAGCCACCCAGGCCCCCCTAGGCCATTCTTTCTTGAGAAAGTAGTCATGCCTTGTAAACCACATGCATACAGTGGAGCCAACTCTGTTTACCTAGTGACAACCAATCAGATCAGGCAGCAGTGCCTGAGCCAGAGCTGCCCAGCAAGGATGGTAGAGTAGCAGGGGCAAGGGGAGCTGTGCAGAAAGAAACAGATGGCTCTGTGAAAAATCAATAAAAGAAAATCTTGTTTAAAGTGGAGTCAGGAAGCCAGCAGGGGGAGCTCTCATGCCCTAGCGCTCATCTATTGCAGACCCAAAAGGAAGAGAGGGACCTTGCAGGTGGATACTACTTTACTATCCAGGCGGGAGGGAGGAAGGCTTTCTAGCACAGTCCAGCCAATGAGAGACTGTCACAACTCAGCCAATGAAAAGCCACTACGCTTCACATTCCCAGTTTACTTGAATGGACTTGATGTTTATAATAGTGCCTGTGAACTTCCAATTTCCTCTATAAAAGAGCAGTCCTCCTTTGTTCTCCTGACTTGCCTACGTTTGCTTGTCCCAGTTTGTAATTCTCTCCTATTCCCAAATAAGCCCATATTTGCTGGTAAAATAACTGGTAGTTTTATTTTTTAGATTAACAGCCATCCAAGGAATGGGAACAGAGGCCTGACTCAGTGTGGTCCCTGGAGCGAAGAGAAGGCAATGTTGAAGCTCTCCACCAGGTCTATGGTATGTTCTAGTACACTAAATGCTAGGAGCAGGGGACATTGTTCCACTACTGAGGCAGCAGTGGGAGTTGTCCCTCTTCTCAGGGTGGACACAAAACCCATTACCCGGTGGTTCTTAACTTTTTGGGGTTTGTAGCTGCAGCCCAGAGGGTGGCCTGTTCACCAGAATTGTGTGCTCTTCCCGTCAGAGTGGACAGGAGTACTCGGCCTGGAATTAGGATCCCAGCACCTCTTGCATTTAGGTGGGACTCTGACCAGGCACCCGCTGAATGGAACTGGAAGATGTGTCACTTGCAGACCAAATTGGTTAAGAGGTGACTTTACCACATTTTTTCTTTCCCTCTGCTAGACGCTGAGGCTTTAGGGTTGGAAGAAGCACAGCTGAAGGAGGCCGGGTTACTGAATCACTGAGTGGAGGAAAACCACCTGCTAACTAGGCACAGCTTCGCTGGAACAGTTATGTGGGTGAAAAAGAAAACTGTGGAATTTGGGGGTTTACTTGTTACAGCATAACCCTAACAGATAGAATGGCATTCTTTCGAGTGCTAGAAATTTTGGCAGCACACGCAGAAAGATTAAGTGGCGCACATAAGAGTTACACTATTATACTGATCACATGGCAGCACTGTGGCATGTTCGAGTGAACCAGCTTCCGTCCCGAGACTCTGTTGGAGCCTCACGAGGCACAGTTCACCCAGGTCTGGTAGATACTACACCTTTTTGTCTCTTCGTGTGTATCAAGTTGTGCCTGTAGCACAGGGAAACTGCATGCAGCCTAGCTCCACATTCTGTTTGCCCAGAAACTGTTACTGGTGTGAATCATAGTTGTAGCAAAAGAACACTTCATCTCTCAGTGAAGGAGCCCTGAGGAGTCACCGCGGTCCTCCAAAACCACAGATGTATGGCTGCCTGGCCAAGACGAGTTGCTGGCAATCCAGAAAACAAAACAAAACAACAAACCCCCAAGTGTGGACACCCTAAACAGGGAAATGTAATTTATTAAACCTTTTCCGTAGTTTTTGAACATTTAGGTTGTTACCAGTTGTTTTTCTTTTTACTGCCATATATAATGATATACAATAGGACTACCTTTGAATAAACATCTTTGCCCACCTGTTTATTTTCTTGGGATAGCCAAGTCGGGCTTCGATTGTGTGGGGGCAGACGGGGGAAAAGCACGTGCCAGAGCTTGGAATTGTGGAGTAGTGCTTCTATCCCAGGAATTGCCCCAGTCCTGAGAGGAGGTGCCTTTCCTGGGGCACCTGAGATACTCTTCTAAGGAGCTTCGAGCTTGTTTTTGAAGGTAACAGGGAGTCACTGAAGAATGCTAAAGGAGTGGGAGTGGCTACCCCCCTTACCAGCGGCCAGGCTCCGGGCAGGTCATCACACCACTGTGAACTTGAGTCTCCTTCTGGGTAAAATAGGGAGAGACACCGATCTTCTGGGGTGACAGAAAAAAATGAAGCAGTGAGTGACCATGAAGGCACCAGCTCTGCCCAGCAGGCAGCGGGTTCTGCACAGCGGCCAGCTTCTGTGTGGTCCCTCCCTCTGTGAAGCAGAAGCTCTAGGGAGGCCAAGCAGGGCTCAAGGTCTGTAGTGTGTGATTCATGGGCAAACGCCTTTGAGCAGTCTTCCCTCCAGGGCACCAGAGGGTTCCATAGAGGCCATGTTTGCTGTGCTAACTTATCTCGTGGGGCAGCAAAAGCTGAAGGACTATAGCTTGCCTATCTTCCTCCCTTCCTTCCTTCCTTTTAAACACAGAACTCTTAGTTGGGGGTTGGAAACTACCTGCTTCTTCTGTAGGTGAGCTATAAATTCTAATGATTATAATCTATCAGATATTCACAGAGCGCCTTCTTCTTTTTTTTTAACTGAGCACCTTCCAATACCTGGTATGGTCTGGGTACTGTGGCTATGTCAATGACCAAGATAGACAAATTTCCAAGGCCTTACATTCTACTGGGAAAGACAAACAAAATGCAAGTAAAGGAGAAAGCTAAACTAATCTAAAAATTGTGGTAGGTTGTAACGAGGGCCATGATGGGAAATGCAAGAGTCCGAATGAGAGAAAAATTGAAGAGGACATGTTTTAGGTAAAAAGTCAGGGAAGAGGGATGCCTGGGTGGCTCAGTGGGTTAAGCGTTTGCCTTCAGCTCAGGTCATGATGCCAGGACCCTGGGATGGAGCCCCTCATCAGGCTCCCTGCTCGGTGGGGAGCCTGCTTCTCCCTCTGCCTGCCGCTCCCCCTGCTTGTGCTCTCTCTCTTTCTCTCTAACAAATAAATAAATAAAATCTTGAAAAAAAAGTCATGGAAGAGTACACTGAAGACTTAGAGGAAGACGAGGAACCAGGGTTGCACACAGAGCAGGGGCTAGGAGGAAGCTTACCCTGTGGAGGGAAAAGCAAGTGCAGAGACTGGGAGGTGGGCAGGGGAAGTGAGCCTGCAGCATGGTGGGGAGCAGAGGGGAGGGTGACAGGACATGACGTAGAAGGCACAATTTGCTAGGTCTTAACATGCTGGTTAAGAGCACAGACGAGGTCAATCCTATTTTCTGTGCCTCTCATTAGCCACCTAAGCTTTCCAAATTTTAGTTTTCTCATTTGGAAAAGGGACTTGATCTTAGTACCTGCCTCACAGGGATGTTGCAAATATAAATGAGAAAATGCATATAAATGCTTAGCTGAGTGCCTGGCACATGGGAAGCGCCACACTCATGTTAATCATAATTATTACTAAACGGAGGAGGGCTTGGAGCCGGACGGGCCTGTATGGAATCCTGGCTCTGCTGCAGGGTTGCTTTGTGCCGTGGGCAGGCATGTCTTTATGCCCTCTGTTCCTTGTTTATGAAATTCCTTAAATGCCTATCCTGGGGAGTAATTATTATGGGAATTATATGAGGTGATTTATGTGCAGCCATCCTGATGGTAGGAACCAACCCCTCAAGGTCTTATAATTATTATTTTTTTAAAGATTTTATTTACTTGAGAGAGCGAGCAAGCACAGAGGGAGAGGGAGAAGGAGACTCCCTGTTGAGCAGAGAGCTGGACACGGGGCTCGATCCCAGGACCCTGAGATCATGACCTGAGCCGAAGGCAGATGCTTAATCCACTGAGCTACCCAGGTGCTCCAGGTCTTATAATTATTTAAAAATATTTTCCTGGAAGGGCACCTGGTAGCTCAGTCGTTAAGCGTCTGCCTTCGGCTCAGGTCATGATCCCGGGGTCCTGGGATCGAGCCCCGCATCGGGCTCCCCGCTCCACGGGAAGCCTGCTTCTCCCTCTCTCACTCCCCCTGCTTGTGTTCCCTCTCTCGCTGTGTCTGTCTCTGTCAAAAAGATAAGTAAAATCTTAAAAAAATTTTTTTCCCCTGGATATTACAGCCTCTTAGTAAACACTCCAAAAGAGACAATCAAAACCTAAATGAAAATCTGTTGTAAGTTTGTGAATCGGGCACCTGGGTGGCACAGTCGGTTAGGCATCTGAGTCTTGGTTTTGGCTCAGGTGATCTCAGGCTCATGATCGTGAGATCGTGAGATCGAGCCCCTAGTCAGGCTCTGGGCTTAGCGCAGAGTCTGCTTAAGATTCTCTCTCTCTCCTTCTGCCCCTCCCCCCTTTCTCTCTCTCTCTCTCTCAAATAAATAAAAAAAAATCTAAAAAAAAAAAAAGCTTGTGAATCCACTTGTGTTATGGGTTGGGGTGGACGACAAAGAAAAATCTGGGAATTTTAGCTTTCCTTTTCCATTTTTCTCGTCACAAGAGACCCTGATTTACCTGGTCTCTTGCAAGGAGGAAGAAAAAAAGACCCTGAGTTAAGTAATAGAACACCAGCTTGTCTGAACCCCAAGAATGCTTGGTGCTGGATGCAAACTGCAGGGGGAGAGCTACTTCTCATGGGCTATAATTGGCCAGTCTCATATGCAGGCCTTTTTCCCTTATTAACACTTGAGAGCAAGTGGTGCTCAAGGCAGAAATTCTGGGCCTGTATGAAAAAAAGTTGTTTAGGCCACAGAGGCTGTGTGTTCATTGGTGATACTGGAATGTGGCTGGGGAGGGCTCAGACCTATGGGGCCCTGGTGAGTCAAACCCTTTGTGGAAAGCTGGCGGCTTTGGGGGCCCCTGGGTGGCACAGTCGGCTGAAAGTCCGGCTCTTGGTTTCGGCTGGCTCAGGTCGCGATCTCGGGGGTCGTGGTGATCTCGGGGGTCGTGGTGATCTCGCGGTTGTGAGATAGAGTCCTGCCTCTGGCTCAGAGCTCAGCGAGGAATCTGCTAAAATTTCTCTCTCTCCCTCTTCCTGCCCCTCCCTGCGCGAGCGCACGCGCACTCTCTCTCAAATAAATAAATAAATCTTAAAAAAAAGAAAAAGAAAAGCTGGCTGCTTGGTCAGAACTGATGTCAGCGTCAGCCAGCAGCTAGCTCTGGGGTTTCCGGGGAAGCAAGGGGAAGCTGCAGTGGGGCGCCCTCCGGGATCTGCGCGGGGAGAGGGTGTGTCCTTGCTTCCCAGCTAGTGCTGTGGGGCCCTCTGGTGGCTGCGGAGCGAGTAGCTCCGCTGTGGTGGGTGCTGCTTTCAGCGTGGCCCTAGTAGAATAAGGGGCAGGATTAAATAATTTAAATAATCTACCTAAGAGCATATTATGGCCCTGTCAGAACCCACACTAAGCCTAGTCTCGAAGCCTCACTCTTGCCACCACCCCTCTCTGCCTTTCTTTGGGTAAAGCAACAACGAGGACTGTAGCTGCTTCGGAATATAACCGGAATCTAGGCAGGAACAGGAGCAGCGTTCCTGAGTAGCTCTGATGGGAGGTCCTGTGTATGGCCAGTGTTGCACAAGTGTAGACCGTAACCCGGTAGGATTCAGAACAGTAGGCTCGCTATTGGCTAGGACCCTTAGGAATAACTTGTGGGAGACACAGGGTTTGAAGTGAGCCTTGAAGGTTGGGTGCTGTCCCCTCTGATGGGCATTGATGTGGCACGGGGAACACGTAGAGAGAGGAGGGCAGTCAGGGGGTAGGAGGAACAGAACTACAGAGGGGCGAACGTCAGGACACATTTGGGGAAACAGTAAGTGCAACTGGAAAAAGGCTTGGGTGGGGGGAAGGCCTAGCTTGAACTCCAGGCTAGAGATTTAAATTGCAGAACAATAAACCACAATAGCTGGAGTCGCCAACTGGGAACAGGGAGAGTGGGAGCCAGAAGATGATGGTGGGGATGATGCAGGCCTGAATTCGAATGGTGGTGGTGATAGTGGGCAGGAGGGTGCAGCCAGGCACCTGTATCAATGAGGTGCCTGCCACACACAGGGTGGAGACACTGGTTGGGGAAGGAAGGTGCTGAACAAGGTGCTGGTGGGATTCCAGGTGGAAATGACCTACTTTGTGATTAGTCTCAAATTGTTGGACCTACCCCTGGCATGGTGACTTGGGAGAGTGTGTAGACACTGGCTTTTCCAGTTGTCGCTGCACAGAGCCTGCTTCCTTGGACAGGGCCCCGTGGCTTCCTGCACATGCTGGTAGTCAGGCTGAGGTCCCGGAAGGATGCCTGGTGCCTGCAGAGGTTTTCCTGGCCAGGCTCAGTTCAGTGATGAGAGCATCATACTGGCATTTGGAAAGCAGGACGTAGCTGCAGGGCTAGGTGCTTCAGGGAATGCAGGGATGAAGGCAGCAGTTCTGTGCTTGAGAAGAATTCATGCTGCAGCTGAGGAGACAGGCTGCGGGGGAAGACAGTGAAGGGGGATCAGAAGGTGGAAGTACCGGCTGATTGCAGAGCCAGGCACCCTCAAGGTTCTGGTCAGATGTCATCTCCAACATGACGCCTCCCTGAATCCCCCCAGACTGGGGCTGGGTGTTGGTCCTCGGGCCTCCCTTCGCACCTCCTGGCCCTTATCACAGGGTGTAGAAATTGCTTGTGCAGTTGCCTGTCTCCCTCAGAGCCTGTAGGTTCCTTGGGGACAGAGATTTGTCTTGGTGTACTGTGTCTTCTGAGCAGAATATGGGGGATGTTGGCGGGGAGGGTAAGTCACTGGTCAGCACGGGCTGCTGAGGACAGCGGCCCTGGCTCGGAGCCGCTGGGACACCTGAGGATGGACTGCTGGGAGAGCCCCTACAGCCCAGCTCAGTGTGCCCAACTTCTGTTTGTGAAAGATCGGATTTACTATCTGTCACCTATTCTAGCAGATAAGGGTTAAAGCCCTTCATATTTTAAAACACATTCATGCTTCTCAGCTTACCTGTTCTTAAAAGTTAACAGTAGATGTGTCATCAAGGTCTGTTAATGACAGAAAAACTTCCGGTATGAGACAGCTGTCCGTCAACTTGACCCAACCCACGATAACATTGTTTTTTCCTTGTTAATATTTAATGGTAGCAGCTGTGGTGAAGTAGAAAGAGGATTAGAAAAATGAGGTTTGAATTCAGGTTTTCCCATTTATTAGCTTTGAGACCTAGGGCAAGTCTCTTCACCTCTCCGAAGCTGTTTGTTTTCAAAATGAGGATAACAATAACCAATATTTGGGAAACTCATTACATTTTATAGATCATTTTGGTATATTCATTCAGAAAGTTATTGAGTGCCAACTTTATGCCTGACATTGTCTAAATGCTGTGGATCCAGAAATAAAGACATTGTCTCTCCCTTCAGGAATCCCAGTCTAGGGACAAAACAACACGTAAAGGTGAAAAGCATCATGGCCGAGGTGCCTTTGGTTGTTGCTGGAGTGCAGAGCAGAGAGCAGGGGGATATAGGGGAGGCTTCTTGCAGGGGGAGCCTCTTGAGGCTAATCTGAAGGATGAGTCTGAGCTCTCCAGGTTAGGAAGGTGGGGGAATGAGGGAGTAAGGCAGAGACATCTGGAGAAATAATAGATGATCTGGAAGGTTTGGTGGTTATATGTGGTATGTGTTTGGAGGCTACAGGAGATCAGGACATGGAATCCTTGAAGGGCCAGATCACAAAGAGTCTCCAGTGCTGAGGGAAAAAACTTGAACTTTATTTTGAATACTGTGAGGAATGTTGAAAGTTTAATACTTATGTGTGTCTTTCTGATGAAAAAAGTGATCTGTATCCATTGATAGAAAAATGGAAAACAGAGGGAGGAGTAGGAGACGTGGATTTTGTCTGGTCTCAGGAATTCAGCTGGATAGGGATCAGACCATTCTGAACACCTACAAACTCAACAGGAGATCGAAGAAAAGAATAGCAACAACTCTCTGAACAGAAAAGTGACCACTTTCTGGAAGGTAGGACGTGCAGAGAAGTGAATCGGAGGCGATATTCAGGAGGATAGACGGCGGGGGAGGGGGCCTCCGTCGGCCGCTTCTGGCAAGTGATAGAGCAGCGGAGCACAAAATCAGAACTTTTAGAAGCCTGCTCCGCTGAGGGACATCACTCAAGTGGCTAAGTGGGGGGTGGAACCCTCGTGGGACAGTGTGGTCTCAGGACCCTCGGGGTCACAGAAAGACCAGGGGTGCCTGAGTGCGGCAGAGCTCCCAGGTAACGGAGCAGGGAAGCCGGCTGCAGAGGTGGAGCAGAGGAGTGGGCTCTCAGCTCGGGGTTGCCATAAACCGGGATCCGGGGCACAGTCGGGCCACTGCTCCTCCCGCAGGGACCCAACAAGCAGCAGATCCGGGGAGATTCCCCTTCTTCCCCGGGGAGGAGCGGCGCAGGAGCACACCGCAGGGATCTGCTGGGCTTGGAGACTCCACCCGGGTCGGGTGCCAGAGACAGAAACGCGCGGTCACAGGCCGGGCGAGCACGGAGTGCGGCCGGAGACCGGGGAGACGGGAGTGATTGACTGCTTTTCTCTGGGGGCTCACTGAGGAGCGGGGCCCCGAGGTCTCGGCTCCTCCGGGGCGGAGATTGGGAGGCCGCCATTTTCACTGTCGTCCTCCAAAGCTGTATGGAGAGCTTGGAACAAAAGCTCCCGAGAGCAAACCCTAGCAGATGACGTAGCCCAGAACGGCAAGGGCGGGGCAATCCCGCCTCCCGCAAAGACATTTTGGAACCGTGGCAACAGGCCCCTCCCCAGAAGATCAGCGAGAACAGCCAGCCAAGACCAAGTTTACCGATCAATGAGAACGGCAGAACTGCAGTGCTAGGGGACTACTGCACATAGAATTCACGGCTTTTTTACCATGATTCTTTAGTCTTTCAAAGTTAATTTTTTTTAACTGTCTTTTTTTCTTTTTGAATTTTTCTTTTTCCCTTTTTCAACCAACATCTTATCAATCCCTTTTTTTAAAAAACATTTTTATTTTTCATTTTTAGAGTCATTTTCTATCCCTTCATAGTAGTTATCCTTATTTTTGGCATATATATATATATATATATATATGTATGTTGTTCTCTCTTTATTTATTTTTTATTTTTATTTTTTTAAAGATTTTATTTATTTATTTGAGAGAGAGAGAATGAGAGAGAGCACATGAGAGGGGGGACGGTCAGAGGGAGAAGCAGACTCCCCGCCAAGCAGGGAGCCCAATGCGGGACTCGATCCTGGGACTCCAGGATCATGACCTGAGCCGAAGGCAGCCGCTCAACCAACTGAGCCACCCAGGTGCCCAAGTTGTTCTCTCTTTAAAATTTGAGATACACTTTCTTCTAACAGATCATAATATACCCTAAATCTCTAGTGTATGGCTTTGTTCTAGTCTCCTACCTGATCACATTCTCTACCCCCTTTTTTTAAAAAATCTTCTTTCTTTTTTCAAACAACTTCTTATCAATTTCTTTTATAAAATTTTTTATAATTTTCATCTTTACAGTCATATTCCATCCCTTCATCGTATCAACCCTTATTTTTGTACATATATAAGTTTTTCTTTCTTTAAAATTTTGGGAAGCACTTTTTTCTAACAGACCAAAATACACCCAAAATCTAGTGTGTGGCACTGATCTATGCACCGCCTGATCATATTTGATCATATTCTGTTTTCTTTTGTTTTGTTCTGTTTTTGTTTGTTTTATCTTTATCTTTTTCTTTTTTCTTTCTTTCCCTTTCTTTTCCCCCAGCTTCAGGTCTTTTCTGATTTGTTTAGAGTATATTTTCTGGTGACGTTGTACCCTGTTAGCATTTTGTTCTCTCATTCATCTATTCTCCTCTGAAAAAATGACAAGATGGAAAAAGTCACCTCAACAAAAAGAACAAGAGGTAGTACCGACTGCCAGGGACCTACTCAATATGGACATTAGTACAATGTACTAATTGTACATTAGTACAATGTACAATTCCCTGCCTATTTTCAGACCACAATGATTTGAAATTAGAACTCAATCACAAGAGGAAAGTTGGAAAGAACTCAAATACATGGAGGCTAAAGAGCATCCTACTAAAGAATGAATGGGTCAACCAGGAAATTAAAGAAGAATTTAAAAAATTCATGGAAACCAATGAAAATGAAAACACAACTGTTCAAAATCTTTGGGATGCAGCAAAGGCAGTCCTAAGAGGAAAGTATATAGCAATATAAGCCTTTCTCAAGAAACAAGAAAGGTCTCAAATATACAACCCAACCCTACACCTAAAGGAGCTGGAGAAAGAACAGTAAATAAAGCCTAAACCCAGCAGGAGAAGAGAAATAATAAAGATCAGAGCAGAAATCAATGGAATAGAAACCAAAAGAACAGTAGAACAGATCAATGAAACTAGGAGCTGGTTCTTTGAAAGAATTAACAAGATTGATAAACCCCTGGCCAGACTTATCAAAAAGAGAAATGACCCAAATCAACAAAATCATGAATGAAAGAGGAGAGATCACAACCAACACCAAAGAAATACAAACAATTATAAGAACATATTATGAGCAACTCTATGCCAGCAAATTAGATAACCTGGAAGAAATGGATGCATTCCTAGAGATGTGTCAACTACCAAAACTCAACCAGGAAGAAATAGAAAACCTGAACAGACCTATAACCACTAAGGAAATTGAAGCAGTCATCAAAAATCTCCCAACAAACTAAAGCCCAGGGCCAGATGGCTTCCCAGGGGAATTCTACCAAACAGTTAAAGATGAATTAATACCTATTCTTCTGACACTGTTCCAAAAAATAGAAATGGAAGGAAAACTTCCAAACTCGTTTTATGAGGCCAGCATTACCTTGATCCCCAAACCAGACAAAGACCCCATCAAAAAGGAGAATTACAGACCAATATCCTTGATGAACATGGATGCAAAAATTCTCACCAAAATACTAGCCAATAGGATCCAACAGTACATTATTCACCATGACCAAGTGGGATTTATCCCTGGGCTACAAGGTTGGTTCAACATCTGCAAATCAATCAATGTGATACAATACATTAACAAAAGAAAGAACAAGAATCATATGATCCTCTCAATAGATGCAGAAAAAGCATTTGACAAAGCACAGCATCCTTTCTTGATCAAAACTCTTCAGAGGATAGGGATCGAGGGGACATACCTCAATATCATAAAAGCCATCTATGAAAAACCTACAGCCAATATCATTCTCAATGGGGAAAAACTGAGAGCTATCCCCCTAAGGTCAGGAACACGGCAGGGATGTCCACTATCACCACTGCTATTCAACATAGTATTAGAAGTCCTAGCCACAGCAATCAGACAACAAAAAGAAACAAAAGGAATCCAAATCGGCAAAAAAGAAGTCAAACTCTCACTGTTTGCAGATGATATGATACTTTATGTGGAAAACCCAAAAAACTCCACCCCAAAATGAGCTAGAACTCATACAGGAATTCAGTAAAGTGGCAGGATATAAAATCAATGCACAGAAATCAGTGGCATTCGTATACACCAACAACAAGACAGAAGAAAGAGAAATTAAGGAGTCGATCCCATTTACAATTGCACCCAAAACCATAAGATACCTAGGAATACATCTAACCCAAGAGGCAAAGGATCTGTACTCAGAAAACTATAAAATACTCATGAAAGAAATTGAGGAAGACACAACAAAATGGAAAAACTTTCCATGCTCATGGATTGGAAAAAGAAATATTGTGAAGATGTCAATGCTACCTAGAGCAATCTACACATTCAATGCAATCCCCATCAAAATACCATCCACTTTTTTCAAAGAAATGGAACAAATAATCCTAAAATTTGTATGGAACCAGAAAAGACCCCGAATAGCCAGGGGAATGTTGAAAAAGAAAAGCAAAGCTGGTGGCATCACAATTCCAGACTTCCAGCTCTATTTTTTTTTTTAAGATTTTATTTATTTATTTGACAGAGAGAGACACAGTGAGAGAGGGAACACAAGCAGGGGGAGTGGGAGAGGGAGAAGCAGGCTTCCCGCTGAGCAGGGAGCCCAATGTGGGGCTTGAGCTCAGGACCCTGGGATCATGACCTGAGCCGAAGGCAGATGCTTAATGACTGAGCCACCCAGGTGCCCCTGGACTTCCAGCTCTATTACAAAGCTGTCATCATCAAGACAGTATGGTACTGGCACAAAAACAGACACATAGATCAATGGAACAGAATAGAGAGCCTGGAAATGGACCCTCAAGTCTATGGTCAACTAATCTTCAACAAAGCAGGAAAGAATGTCCAATGCAAAAAAGACAGTCTCTTCAACAAGTGGTGTTGGGAAAATTGGACAGCCCCATGCAGAAGAATGAAACTGGACCATTTCCTTACACCACACACAAAATAGACTCAAAATGGTTGAAAGACCTAAATGTTAGACAGGAGTCCATCACAATCCTAAAGGAGAGCACAGGCAGCAACCTCTTCGACCTCAGCCACAGCAACTTCTTCCTAGAAACATCGCCAAAGGCAAGGGAAGCAAGGGCAAAAATGAACTATTGGGACTTCATCAAGATAAAAAGCTTTGGTACAGCAAAAGAAACAGTCAACAAAACCAAAAGACAACCAACAGAATGGGAGAAGATATTTGCAAATGACATATCAGATAAAGGGCTAGTGTCCAAAATCAATAAAGAACTTATCAAACTCAACACCCAAAGAACAAATAATCCAATCAAGAAATGGGCAGAAGACATGAACAGACATTTTTCCAAAGAAGACATCCAAATGGCCAACAGACACATGAAAAAGTGCTCAACATCACTCGGCATCAGGGAAATCCAAATCAAAACCTCAATGAGATACCACCTCACACCAGTCAGAATGGCTAAAATGAACAAGTCAGGAAACTAGAGATGTTGGCAGGGATGCAGAGAAAGGGGAACCCTCCTACATTGTTGGTGGGAATGCAAGCTGGTGCAACCACTCTGGAAAACAGTATGGAGGTTCCTCAAAAAGTTGAAAATAGAGCTACCCTACGATCCAGCATAATTGCACTACTGGGTATTTACCCCAAAGCTACAAATGTAGGGATCCAAAGGGGTACTTGCACCCCGATGTTTATAGCAGCAATGTCCACAATAGCCAAACTGTGGAAAGAGCCAAGATGTCCATTGACAGAAGAAGAAGTGGTATATATATATACAATGGAATATTATGCAGCTATCAAAAGGAATGAGATCTTGCCATTTGCAACGACGTGGATGTAACTGGAGGGTGTTATGCTGAGCAAAATAAGTCAAACAGAGAAAGACATGTATCATATGACCTCACTGATATGAGGAATTCTTAATCTCAGGAACAAACTGAGGGTTGCTGGAGTGGGGGGTGGGAGGGATGGGGTGGCTGGGTGATAGACATTGGGGAGGGTATGTGCTATGGTGAGCGCTGTGAATTGTGCAAGACTGTTGAGTCACAGATCTGTACCTCTGAAACAAATAATGCAATATATGTTAAGAAAAAAAAAAGAAGATAGCAGGAGGGGAAGAATGAAAGGGGGGAAATCTGAGGGGGAGACGAACCATGAGAGATGATGGACTCTGAGAAATAAACTGAGGGTTCTAGAGGGGAGGGGGATGGGAGGATGGGTTAGCCTGGTGTTGGGTATTAAAGAGGGCACGTTCTGCATGGAGCACTGGGTGTTATGCACAAACAATGAATCATGGAACATTACATCTAAAACTAATGATGTAATGTATGGGGATTAACATAACAATAAAAAATTAAAAAAAAAAAGAAAAATGGAAAACAGAAATATAAAGAAAAAGATGAGCATCCAGAGGTAACCATTGATCATATTTTGGAAAATATACTTGATGAAGGTATATGGATATGTCTGTTAAGCCCTGGCTACTTAAAGTGTGGTCCGTGGACCAGCAGCAGTGGCATCCCCTGGGAGCTCACAGAAAGGTAGAAACTCGGGCTGTACCCTGGGCCCAGGGAATCAGACTCTGCAGCTGGAGTGGAACAGAGATGCTTGGCAGTGTGTTCTCAAGTGCTTCTTGGTGGTGCAGGAATTCAGAGGAGAGGGAGAGCCATGCTGATCAGAGTGGGTGTGGGAGCTTTTGGAAGACATGAGACCTGAGGTTAAAGTCTGTAAAATATGTGGGATTAGGCCACACAGAGAGGAGAGAAAGGATGAATGGTGTAGTGGCGAATATAGGATTTTGGAAAGTAGAAGGTTTCTCCTGAGAAACAGAACCAAGAGGAGGTTTATTGTAGAAATCTGCTCAAGAGGTGATGGAGGCCGAGTGGTCCCAGTACCTGCTGTCTGCTAGATGGGGAACCAGGAAAGCTGGTGGTATAATTCAATATAAATCCAAAGGTCTGAGAATCTGGAGGGCTGATGATGTAAATCCCCATCTGAGTCTGAAAGCTCAAGAAGCAGGTGTCGCTGTCCAAGGGCAGGAGAAGATGGTGGTTTCGGTTCAAACAGAGAGTACAAATTCTCCCCTCCTCTGCCTTTTTGTTCTCTTTGGGATCTTGGTGGATTAGATGATGCCCACCCCACATGGGGAACGACCATTTGCTTTACTCACTCTATCAATTCAAATGCTATTCTCTTCTGAAAATATACTCACAGACACACCCAGAAATCATGTATTACCAGCTCTCTGGGCATCCCTTTCCCAAGTCAAGTTGATGTAGTATTAACCATCATCTGGAGTCAGGCCAACCTGGCCTTGTCTCTTCCTTATTTGCTGTGAGACTTGGGAAAAGTTCTGATTCTCTCTGTGCCTTAGTTTCTGCCTCTGTAAAATAGGTGTTAAAAACTGAGCTTATATCGGGGCCCCTGGGTGGCTCAGTCGTTAAGCATCTGCCTTCGGCTCAGTTCATGATCCCAGGGTCCTGGGATCGAGCCCTGCATCAGGCTCCCTGTTCAGCAGGAAGCCTGCTTCTCCCTCTCCCACTCCCCCTGCTTGTGTTCCCTCTCCCACTGTGTCTCTCTGTCAAATAAATAAAATCTTAAAAAAACAAAACAAAACAAAACAAAAAAACAACTGAGCTTATATTATAGGATTATTAAAGGAATATAAAAGATAATGTATGTAAAACTCTAAGTGTATGGCATGTAATAAGTACTCCATAAGTTACTAGCTATTACCATTATTACTACCAATATTAACAGTAAGTGTACAACACTTAGGACATAGAAGACAATAAATTTAAGTAGAATTATGTCAAATTGAATTCCATGTGAAGGGAGAAGTATCAAAGGTGCAGAGGCAGTGCAAGTCCAACCAGGTTAAAGAGCTTATTCTTGTTAGGGATGTAAAAATATAGACCAGCATGAAGTGCTAGTTGAAGCATTACTGGTTAGACTTTCACTGATGGGAGAGATTATAGGGACACAAGAGGAGATGTTCAGAGACTGAGTCTGGCATTGACCACAGTTAAAGCACAGGGAGAAGAGCTGGCAAAGGAAATGAAGAGTGAGACGGGTTGAGAAAAGGAAGCAGGGGGTACTTGAAGAAAGGTCTGGTGCAGGAAATGTACAAGATCAGCCAGGAACACCTTATACCAGAAAGCAAGGAGGTTATCAAAGACTACTGGAGTCATGTCAAAAGGGCTTAGGACCCAACTCAAAGGAGCTCCCATAGGCTAAACATGGAACATTATGAGCATCAAGAACATAACTGAAACACAATAAATATGCTTAAATCCATGAGTTAATAATGGAACTAAATAACAAAATGATCTCATTGCTCACTTTTAGAGAATGCTAGGTAATGATTCTGACGCCAACTATAATGTGTGGGTTTTTTTCCTCCCATACCACCAAGGAATTCTCTGATACTAGCTGGGTGTTCTATAATTTAACTGAATTCTGACCCTGTCTCCTTGGAGGTGGCGTGGGACCCACAGGTTAATGGCTCATACAAGACTGCCCATCCCCCAACTTCAGAGCCAATTGAAAGTCCAGGGGGCCACCTGTGCTTCTGACCAACTGATTATAGATTGGAAGTTCCAACAGCCCCCTCCCCAGGTTCGATTAATTTGCTAGAGTGGCTCACAGAACTCAGAGGAACATTTTACTTACTAGATTACTGGTTTATTATAAAAGGATATAAATCAGGAACAGCCAGATGGCAGAAATGCATTCAGCAAAGTATGTGGGAAGAGGCTGGGAGCTTCCGTGCTCTCTGGGAGGGTCACTCTCCCTGCATCTGCACATGTTCAGCAACCCAGAAGCTCTCTGAACCCTGTCTTTCTGGGTTTTTGTGGAGGTTTCATTACATAGGCATGATTGATTCAATCATTGGCCATTGGTGACTGAGCTCAATCTCTAGCCACTGTCCCATCCCTGGAGGTCAGGGGTATGGACTGAAAGTTCCAGCTGTTCAGTCACACGGTTGGTTCCCCTGGTAACCAGCCCCAACCTCAGGTGCTTTCCAAAAGCCACCTCATTAACATAACAAAATACTAATTCCAAGAGTTTTAGGAGCTCTGTGCCAGAAATGGAGACAAAGACCAAATATATATTTCTCTTTGTAAATCACAGTATCACCCTTGGGAACCAACTGTTACTTTGAAAACTGGTAAATAAAGGGAAAGAATCAAGATTTACCCTGCTCTTCCTATGTAAACTGTTCTTTAGGATAACCAAATAGTTGATGAAGAGTTTCTCTTTTTAAAAGCATCATAACTAAAAATGAATAGAATAAAACTATTTCGATTTTGCAACTCCTAATGAAATAATGGATTGGGATAGTGAGCATCAGTGAACATCAGTGACCTCACAAAAGGAGAAGCAAAAAGATGCTATGGGAATCCTGATGAAAGCACACATCGGCTCTGAAGTATTCTTTGCAAAAAACTCGAACCTGAGTCTGATCAGGCTTCAAATCTGATTCTAATTTTTCGAAAGTGTAGGAGAAGAGGAGCATATTAAACATGAACAGAGGAATACATTAGCAAAAAACTATGAGAAATCTTACAAGACAAATGAACTTGTTTCTTCAATAAATAAATAGCAAGGGACAGGGAGGAAAAGGGAGAGAGAGACTGCAGAGTAAAAGAGCTGTAAGATACGTATCAATCACTTGCACTAAGGGGACCTTATTTTATTCTAATTTGTGCAAACAAACTGTAAAATACCTTTATGAGATAATTGGGGGACATTTGAACATTTTCTAGTTACTTTTTTAGGTATATATTGATTATATATGTATTTTATTTTTTAAAAGATTTTTATTTATTTATTTGGGAGAAAGTGAGTGAGAGAGAGAGACAAGCCAGGGTGTGTGTGTCTGGGGGAGGCAGAGGGAGAGAGAGAAGTAGACGAATTCCGACCAAGCCAAGCAGAGCCCGATGCGGGGCTCGATCCCAGGACCCCAGGATCACAACCTGAGCCCAAGACAGCTGCTTAACAGACTGAGCCACCCAGGCGCCCCACTTAGCATTGTCTTTTTAAGGGTACTCTCACACTCACTATTTCCCTCCAGTCTTACAGAAGGTAGGGTAGGTGGTGTCATCTCTACTTTCCCGCTAAAGAGGGAGAGACTTGGAGAACTTGCTCAAGATCACACAGTTGTCCGAGACCAGACTGTACATGTTCTGAGACCAGGGGAAGCAGACAGCGTGGAATGGTGAGACTCCAGGGAGGGGCTGATTTCCAGGGACATGGAAACAGTCACCAGGGTCCAACAGTGCTGTGAGTGGAGGACTGTGAAGGTGGAGAGGCTGCTACTGGATTTGCTAATGCAGTAAGGATTTATCAGACACTGGGGGAAGCAATTTGAGCCATGGGGAGGAGAAAGCATCCAGATTTCGAGGGGGTTGAGGAAGTTTAGTGGTGAGGAAATGAGGAGCAGGTGAATTGGCATTTTATGAAGCAACCCCTGCTGCCTGGTTGATACTAATTTACACCTTCCCCAACTTTCACATTTGGTTTTCTTCCTCTGCCAAGAGTTAATCTCTTTATGGACTGGACTTGCAGCATTCCTGTGTCATTGTCTTTGTTTTGTGTTCCTACCAGAAGCCCTGGTGCTCTGCAGATCATGATTAATGATAGTGTTGACACTAAGCTGCTGTGGGCATAAAATATGAATGTAGTAACAGGAACACTTCTCTCTGGGAAGGTCAGGTTCTCAGATGAGAGAGGTGGGGCTCGGGCTCCAGATTATCATTGTTTCTCTCTGCCCTCACAGCCTGTTTTCTCAGGGGGCTTGGATCACTCAGAACCCAGTTCCCAGCCAGTGCAGACTTGCCTTTCCCTCCCAGAGTTTTCTTTCTTGCCTGCAGTTTTGTGGGAATGCTTTCAGCAGTAGCTGGGGGAGATTTAGGAGATTAGAGAGGGCAGAGAAACAAAGCATGAATTATCGCTATCCCAGCACAGGTGTGGTCCTCACCGTCCTTCTGCCTGAATTCCCAGTACATCTCTCACCAGGTTCATGGGCAGTACAATAGGGTCATTGTGAGGTAGGTAGGGCAGTGAGGCACCAAGGTCTTGGTGGTGCAGCCAAGGGGGGAATGAGTCTCTCCCCCAAAACTGGAGCTGGGCCATGAATTGTTGGTGGAGTGCCCAGCTTCACCATCTTTATATATTTGCATGGCTATATATTTCATTTATAGAAGCTCTCTTTGGCTCTTTTTTTCCCTTCATGTATTCCTGTTCTTGTTTTATGTGTCCTATTTCTTGCTTTGTTTATTTGAACTTTTTTTTTTTTTTAAGTAGGCTCCACACCCAGTGTGGAGCCCAATGCAGGGCTTGAACTCATGACCCTGAGATCCTGAGATCAAAACCTGAGCTGAAATCAAAAGTAGGACACTTAACTGACTGAGCCACCCAGGCACCCCTATTTATTTGAACATTTTAAACATACTCATGTTAAGGTCCTGTCCAGATTGCTCGCTCGCTCTCATTACTTGGGTGCAAAGTCTTTCCTCTGTTGCATAAACTAATGGTCCCTCATGTGCATGTAATGTTTGTGAGCCCATTTTAGCAGGATTTATCTTCTGTAGAAATCCTCCAAATAGCTGGGTCATCTTCATGAGGTGGTTTGCATTTCTCTAGGGTTTTATGGTGCTTACTGCTCTGTAGCGCTTTTTAATCTCTTAGCCTGGGGATTTGGTACCAAGGAGCAGTGTGGGTTTGAGCCCCATGGCTTCAGGAAGCACAGGTTCGGTGCTCTGATTTCTCTCTGATGAGAGACCCCGGGGTTCATTCTGAGTGCTGTCTAGGATGGTAGGGCGAGTTTTCCAGTCTCTGCAGGGACAGTGCAACTCTTTAGTAGTTGTCTCCTTTAGCTAAGGGTTCAGTTCCTGTTCTCTACTGTAGCCCTGGGTCACATGGCCTCAACTCTGGTGTACTGTTACAGCTCTGAGTTCCCTCTTTGCTTTTGGCATCTGGCAATTTCTCTTTCTATCTTTTGATTGACCAAGTATTTAGACTTTTTAGGGGAAGGGGTTTCCATTTTATCTAGCATTGTTTGTAGTAGGAAAGGGGCTTGCTGTATCTGCTCCATCTTCGTTCTTCCTCTTCTTTTTTTTTTTTT